CCGATACTTTTTTAATATGCATTGTTTGATTTTTGGGTTTGTTTTTATTGTTTTTTTATGTTCTTTTGGTCATCAAAATTGTTCAGAATAATCCTTGACTACCCTGTATAAGTCAATGGGTAGAACGGTTTTTTTATTCCCATTTCAAGCAAATGAAGATAAATCCACATTTAAGCAAAACTAGATAAATCCAGTTTGTCTTTACAGATTTATCTGCTTTTGTCTGATTGCTTAACATAATTAATATAAAAACAATTATTAAAAGTATAAAGTGGGTAGGTATTAGCAGTTGATTTTGATTGGTCCTAACAGCTCTTTTACTGACTGGGATGTGAAAACTTTACCTGATTGGTCTAAATTATTTTTACAGCCTTGGAGATAATCGAACACTTTGGCGTTAACAATATATTAATAATAAAGCTTAAATTATAGAACACTTGAAGATAAATATTAATTAAAAACCAAAACATAAAAATAACAAAGCTTTAGAAAAACATCCTGTTCAAAGAGATTAAAAATTCAAATAAATGTGTTAACTTTAAATTCCAACACTTTTGTTAACCAAAGACTCTGAATTAGAAGTAAAACATTTTAACCAGGATAATGTTATTAAATCAGATTTGAATGCATAGATCTTTGTAATCGAGGTCTGCTTTTACATCATTTTCACATTAATTCAACCATCACATCGCATAGACTTTAATCTCCTTTAAGCACTTACCCATATTCACTCCAACTACTTAAAATAAATCATAAAAAGCTCGTGCACGAGGGATGGTTAAAAACTTTAGAAATTAAAAATATTTAGTTATAGTTATTTATGTCATTATGCCAAGCAGTGAGTCTTTAGTGGTGAGCTTAACATTTTAACAATTGAGCAAAGAACAAAAATATCTTCTGGCTCAATGGCACACATAATTTTATCTTCAAGTTGTAATGTTTTTTTTTTAATTTAAAGTCAAGTTTATTCGTTAAATGATATATAAAACGTATAGTTATTAAGAGTAAAAATCTGACAGAACTAGTTTTTTTTCACTAGTCCAAATAAGGAATTTTCACGGCCTAGGCCATAAATAACCTAACCTGATTTGTCGACTTGATAGGAGCGAGAAATTTTCTTCCAATTTAAAATTTGATTGACCCAAATCACAGTAAATAATAAAATTGGTCACAACCATCTACCCTCATAATAGTTTTTATTTGTTTAATAATATTAATTATTATATGTATCACATTTTTTTTTAATATGTCTGAAGCATTGTTAACAGCAAACTATGTCACCATGCGATGCTTTTCTGTTCTTTTGCATTCTTGTAATACATTGACCAGAGATTACATGAACGAATCTACCAGCGAACTGACGTTTATGTTGTGGTAAATGATGAAATAAATAAATATAAATAATGAAAATCATATAATTATAAAATAATTAAAAGGTCAGACGTATATCTCTATCGCTCCACAAACGAGTCAGAATAATCATATTAAATCCAGAATACCTAAAGGTAAGTAGTAATACGAATAGCGCCGTGATTCGCAGAACTATACACTATTAAACGAAACCTTATAGCGTTGAGTGAAGAATCAATCAATCAATGCTTATCGTTTAACAGTGTATAGTTCTGTGAATCATGACGCTATTCGCATTACTAAAAACTCGTAATTCCGAAATTCACCAAGCCTTCTGATTTATACCTAACACATAGAAAAATCTGTAGGGACAACAAAAAGGTGAACAGAAAATAAACCAACATCTTAATAGACCAAAGAGTACTGTAGCAAGTACTCTGGATCTCGGAATGATGACTCATCGTCGATAAGTCAGCGCCGGTGAGTCAGCGCTCGAACGATCAGAGAACACCGGAGCTCGCTGGAATGTTCGGGAAAGCGCTTGCGTGACGTGTCACGTAAACACTAAATATATAAGGGGCATTCATCCCTCCATCCCCCTTGGTGAGATTTGATGGGATGTAGACCCCCTCCTTACCCCTCACGTGACACGGACAACATGATAAACCCAAAAAAAAAATTGGTTACTTTTTTTGACAAATTTAAATTATAATACTTCTATTCTTTGAACCCAAAAGTTGACGTGAGATTTTAAATGAACCCCCTCCCTTAATATGAGATTTGGTGAGATTTTGCTAGACCCCTTCCCCCCTATTTTTGTCTCACGTAATTAATGGCACAGCGAAGCGTCGTAGAGTAAGTCAAGGTTTGGTACTCGCGACGAAATAAATTATATAAACATGCAAATAAATAGACTTTTGTACAGTAGTGATATATAAATAATTAGTATAGTATATAACTATAGTTTCTTAGTGTTTTAAGTGTACTAAATAGTTTAGTTCGTTAATAAACCAGTGCTTATTTTAATTCACACTACGAACAGTAAAAACGTTACAGTATCTAACAAATACAATTTCTACCACAAAACGTGGACAACGGAACGCTCGGTCAACACATTATTTGGTTTTGACGTACACAAAACATACCGTGTGTTATGTTCGACAAATAAGTAAATTTCTAAAGTTTGTAAATAAATTCATAACCAAAAAACTATTTAAAATTTCTAAATATGTATGATTTTGAAAAAGGTGGACAAAAAAGTAACTCGAAAAGAAACCTTCTTGAAAGAAGGATGGTCCTACCGACCCCAGTTTGGACTGAAGCTTTCTTTAACTTGCCCTGTTTTGAAACAATTTTGACCACTATCTAACTGCTTTTTCTTCTCGGTAGTGGTAAACCAATATTAATCAACCGTCATACTAAAGAGTCTTCTCATGGAATATTGATAATTTTTTGTTATACATAGTAACCAATATTCCAGTTTTCTAAATACTTAAAAAACACCAGTTCTAGTTTGATTATACCAAAGGGATGTAACATAATATTAATATATACAACGCAGTTGAAAAATTAAGCATACATATCGCAATTGCTATCTAATGTCTTTTAAACCCTTCCTCGTACAAACATGTCTTCTTTTACTATTTTCTGGCAAATGGAAAGTTGGGCCACCATATTTCCGTATTAAGCCGACACGCGGTGTTTCAGTTGTATTTTATGGAGCTGCGGTCGGCGTAATATTTTAAACTTTCCAGAACTTCTTGTTCCAAGAATTTATCATATTTGCAGGCGTGTCGGTAAAAAGTTTTACAATTCTTTAATACGGAATAAACGTAAGATTTTAAGGCTTACCGTTCATAAATGGGCATAAGTATTAACATTGGTGTTAAAAAACAACTTTTATGTCTGTATTTTTTCTTATTTAGTTGTGTCTTAGGAATTTTAATAATAATAATATGTATTAAAAACGCAGTTCTTAATGGCTTAAACAGTTATATCAATTCATCAATTTTAAAGATTAAACTACAAAATTAAATTACTAAATATACTTAAATTTTTATATTTTTATGAAGAACCACTTTTAAAAGATAGTTTGATTTTTTTATATATCAAAAAACCAAAAATGTTGTGTGTTTATCAAATATTATTTTTTAACTGAAAAAACACCATCCAAGTCCAAGAACGGGTTGAAAATTGTATAAGCAGTCTACTTCCTAAAAAACCATTTGGGTGGTTTAGAGAATATTAATCTAATATATCATTATCAATCAATATTATTGTATTGAATGATATACAAACTTAAATTAGCTATATTAATTTATAAAACGAATCTATAATGAAGATGTTATAATGAGAACTAATTGGACAATGAATATTATTATTTAAAGTGTAAAAATGTTGATGACTGGTTAAAATTTGTTTTTTGCCTTTTACGGAATGTGACAGTTCTGATATCACTTTTTAATGTGGAATTACATATATTTCTTAAAGTGTTACAGAATTAATTATTCTATCACCGGATAACGGAATAAAAACTGGTGACGACATCTCTGGGTTTATTATCTCAACTCTTCCGATTCAACCTCACTTTCTCCCAATTAAATTATTTTTCTATGGTATTTTTTAAAAACCTAGAAAAATTATAGCTGAAACATATTTGAAATAGCATATTTCGCTCTTGTGAAACCGTCAAACTCGCCTCCGGCTAGTGTGACAAACTTTTTACTCGAACGAAATATGCCGTATTTTAAACTTGTTACAGAATATACTATTTTCGCACCCGTCAATTACAAATTGTCTTTGTGTGAAAAAATTTCTTACAGAATATACTATTAAATTGTCAACACATCCATTTTTAAACTGTTTTCCATTGTGTAATATTTTGGTAAAAAATAAATATTTGCCAATGTTCCATTGCAACATAAAATGCATGCAAAGTGAGTGAACGAAAACAAATAAAAGCGAAACATTTTTCACATATTTTCCTATATAATATTTTCGTGTTTGAACATTACGTCAAATATTGCTATAAATTTAAATTCAACGCGGCTTTCACGTAGACAGTTTCGAGATCGACGGCGCATTGTGTTCAGCACAGGAAAAATTACAACTTTACAGTCAGGTGGAAATCAAATATTTCACAAATAAAATACTAAAGGCATAAATGGAGCTTTTTGACGGAAAACATTTTCCTATAAAGCTCGCGTAACACGCTGTGAAATTATATAACTACTTGTCAACCTTAATATAGCGCAGAAATGAAAAAAGATTTTTTCGCAAGATGAAGAAATGTGTTTTTGATTGAAATATAATAAATCTATAAACATAATATTAGATTTTTCGTTTTCTTAATTACTTAAAGCTTTATTATTCTATATTGTATACATATGTATAAGTCGCATTAATTTTATAAGACAACAGGGTTTTGAAATAATGCCACGAGCAAAATTGCCTAAACTTAAACAGTACCAAAACAGCAGACTTCAGTACAAAATTAAAATTGGCGCCGCTAGTGGTGAAAAAGTGTTAAAATAAGTAAAATGCTAGTTGGGTCACTTCGTGATATGTAGGACCTACATTGTATATAAACTATTAATAAAAATGTAAGCCACACACTACCATCAAATTCTTATTTAATATTCTTGTTTCAGACACTCTTAAACCCCAAAAACCAGTCGACCTCTCAATTCTTAAGAAAGAACAAGACGTTTTCGATGCCATCGACGATTCTGACGATGACGACGACGACGAATCCGACGAAGATGATGACGCAGATGACCTCGACGATCTAGCAGATGACACCGAACTCTCCGACGACCCCACCATGGAGGATGATGATGATGAAGAGGATGATGATGATTACGATGACGGAGACTGGGACACGACTCCATCAAGCACCACTGCAGTGTACAAAGCCACCACTCCTTCCACTACTACTACTACTACAACTGTTAGAAGTACTTCAGTACCCACACCGGACCCGTATTTCACCCATTTCGATCCAAGGTAAGAAACACTGCGAGGAAGATTTTGAGAAACATTTTTGTAAGGTTTTAAAGTATTATTTGCGCTGTTGAGAATAAAATTGTACAGATTTACAAGCCAAAAAAATGTTTTTCAAAATCTCCCACTAGCAAAACTTTTATTAAACAGTAATATAAAGTTCTCTCTTTAGAAACGAACACGACAGCTATAAGGAAGCCCAGGAGCGCTTGGAAGAAACCCACAGAGAGAAAGTGACGAGGGTTATGAAGGATTGGTCTGACTTGGAAGAACGTTACCAGGATATGCGCCAAACTGACTCACGTGGTGCCGATGAGTTCAAACAAAGAATGACGCAGAGGTTCCAGCAGACAGTTCAGGCTCTTGAAGAGGAGGGCGACGCTGAGAAGCATCAATTGGCCGCCATGCACCAACAGAGGGTTTTGGCTCATATCAATCAGAGGAAGAAGGAAGCTATGTCTTGCTACACTCAGGCTTTGAATGATCCTATTCCAAACGTAAGCTTAATAAATTAGCTACCAATTTATCATTCTATAGTATGTATCAAATGCATGCAATGTATTTCAACGATTTTAAATATTCAAACATATTAATATTTCAAAACTTTCAGAGTCCTTAACATCCAAGGAATGTAACAATTTTGTTTATTCTGACTCTAAACAAAGAGTTTAACGATTCCTAAAGAATTTAAACCTTACCATTTTTTTTAAGATCTTTAACATTCTTGAGACCGAATGATTTCAAACATTTTAGAAATGATACATTCCAAGACCATGGATATTTACGATCATTTGGCAATTATGTCGTTTTTTGTACCATAAGCAGATATATGTTAAGCTTATTTACTTAATATTGTAATGTGAAATTTTTTTCTTGTCAACAAAAACGAAATACGCTTAATTACTTAATATTGTAATGTGAAAATTTTTTCTTGGCAACAAAAACGAAATACGCCTTTACGATTTTAGTACTGACTACAAAATATAATAATTTTTAAGTTTTAAGATTTTTTATCGGAAGCAAGGCCCAAAACATATTTTAATTAAAATAACTTTTCCAACCTAACATTTTAAAGATTTTTAAAAATTACAATAAGTACAATAGTATCTAAAATTCGTCATATTATTTTAGACACACCGCGTTCAGAAATGCCTCCAGAAACTCCTCAGATCCTTGCACAAAGATCGCGCCCACGCCATCAGTCACTACCGTCATCTCTTGGCCAGCAGCATAGAAGCGGCCGCGAGGGAGCAACCCAGAATATTGGAACGTCTCACCGACATTGACCGCACCGTTAACCAGAGCATGCAAATGTTAAAGAGATACCCTGAATTATCCAACAAAATCGGTACACTTATGGACGACTACATCCAAGCTTTGAGATCCAAGGACGAAACACCTGGATCTTTGTTGTCCATGACTGCCGAGGCTGAACAAGCGATTTTGGACAAATACAAGACGGAAACTGCCAGCAAACAGGCTGAAAGAGAAAGGCAAAGAATTCAAGAAAAGGAAAGGAAAGAGCAGAGGAAGAAGGAAAGATCTGAATTAAAGGAAGAGAAGAAACGCGTCGAAGCAGCTCTTGGCAAGAAGATCAGCAACTTTGATGATGAAGATATGGAAGATGAATCATTGCCTGAAGATAAATCTGTAAGTTCTGCAAGTATTATTTATGATAATCTTAGTTTAAATTAACAAAATCCATAGAATCTCTCCTAAAACACTTTTTCTTTTAGACTGCAGTTCCAACAACCCCATTCGTCAGCACAATGAGCAGCGAAGTGGTAAGCAACGTGATCACCGCTTCTTCAAACAACCGCAAAGAGGTCGATGACGCAGCCGTTCAACAGGCTGTCGAAGATGTCGCTGCCGTCGCTCACAGACAGGACGTGATCAAGATTGCCCACGTTATGAATCACGACATTAGCCACGGCGAGCCTGTAAGTTAGAATTCAATGTTGCATTACATTTTTTATTAATCCTATTTTATGATTATGAACCATAATGGTAGGGTATGAAACCTCAAAATCATAAAATTCCATATGTGTAAATTTTAGGTGGGGAAAAAATATAGCATATTTTGTGGCTTTATTCCTATTAAAAATAATAATTGTAAGAAAAAATCTAAATTAGGCCCTAAAGAGGATATTTTTGTCAGGAAAAGTGGCCAACCTGTATGTAAATCTACAAAGGCTGTTTACATCGGTTGGAATGTTTGGCCACTAAAAAAGTACATACAGGGTGTCCCAGAAGTCGCGCACCCCCTTGAAGGTGTTTTATAGATACCTAGGAATCCCAGAAAATAAAAAAAAAATTATTTACGTAGCTACCTTCATTATTTAAAAAAGTACAGGTAAAACATAATTTTTTAAAAGGCAACATTGCGTGGGAGTGAAAGTTTAATTCTTAATAATCATGATTGTCGACAACAGATAACAAAATTAAAAAGTGTTACTTTTGTGTAGAGGTTATTTGTTTAACGCCTTTTTTATCTATTCTACGTCAGACTTGACAAAAACAAATAGTTCCGGTTAAGAACTAATAGATTAAATCTATAAAATAACTAAAAAAATATCAACATTACATTGACACAACTACTCACTAAAGGAATAGTACATAGGAATAGTACATATCAATATTTAACACATAAAAATACTATGACAGGGGGGCCATTTCAAGCAAGCAAAACGCACTAATCACAAAACTTTTTTTATTATAAAAATTGTAGGTAATTTATTATATAAAAGTATTTCTCTTGTCCCGTCCATAACTGTCCTTTATTGAAATTTATAAAATAATGCTTGCGTTTGTTTATTATATGTATAGGTAGCCGAATGTTCTCATGCAAAAATAATATATAGTAAGTATTATTTTTCTTATAAAAATAGCTTTGTGATTTTTCCCGTCCGCATGCTCAAAATTGCCCAGATGGTAATTTTGAATGTTAACTGTCAATCCTTGACTATGGGGTGATGTCAACAGATAAAAATCAATTAACCAATTAATTGTTGTGGTATTCAATTAAACCATTGTTTAAACATTCTGTACATTAGGCTTAATCTATATTATAATAAGATTTGAAACAATATAAATAAGGTGTTAGTATATAACGACATAAGGGCGATATAAGGCATATAACGAGGATTTTTGTAGCCAAGGCCGTGAGGCCGAGTCATAACAATCATCCGAATTCGTTATATGCAATATCGGCGGTATGTTGTTCTATACTTCTCATAATACCTCAAAAAACGTAAATTTGTTAGAATTTCGAGGGGTAAACCACTGATTTTTTAAAATAAAAAATCGCCTACGAATTAACGGCTAAGGATAAAAATCACAAGGGTTGTCATGCGCAACGCATCGCTTATAAAAAAATTTCTTATTGATAAGGATTTTTCCTTATTGACGTTTTTTAAATTTGACCATGACCATAGAGAATCTCTATGCCATAACATTCAAATTAAGGGGTAAACCACTTTAAGCTGAAAATCTTTAGCAGTTGCTGAACAGTATGTTGAACAATCAAATACCAAGCAACCTAAAATTTTGAAGCAGCTGTTCAAATCAACGGACAATGATTCTTTAACATCATCCTCAAGTGATGGTGTGGAAAGAAAAATAGAAACTGTAGATGAAAAACATCACAACAAAGACATGAATAAAATTGTAAATAATTTTTTACCAACAAATGTGTCTTTATGAACTACTGGTATGAAACTAATAACATATCGGTATTATGAAAACCTATTATTTTTAGTTTAAAAACTTACGATCTGATATCTTTTTAAATAATGGAGATAATTTGTTTTAACAAAGTGAAAAACTCTGAAAGTAAAAATTATAGTGTAGAAAAACGGAGGTTATTTTTTAAGTTTTGATATTCTTATTGGGTCCGTACTCTGTTGATTTATACTGAATGATATTAGAATGATTTACTTATGCATTCGTTTTTGCAGGGTTACTCTGTAAGAAGGGAGATCTACGGGCGCCGGGACGGAAAGAGCGTCTATTTCACACTGGCCTTCGCCGGCATGGCTCTGATGGCCGCCGTGATTGTCGGCGTCGCAGTGGCCAGAAGGAGGTCGGCCAGATCCCCTCAGAGCCAAGGTTTCATCGAGGTTGACCAAGCGGCAACACCGGAAGAGAGGCATGTGGCAAACATGCAAATAAACGGTTACGAGAACCCAACATACAAATACTTCGAGGTTAAAGAGTAAAGGGAGCAGCCCGTTTGAGTTTTGGACATTTATTTAATTTACTGTTAATTTGCTTGGCAGCCATTTATTTATGTTATTTAAGCAATATATATTTTGATATTTTTTACTTTTTAACCAATGATATTTGTTAAGTTTGATATTTTAATGAATAGTGCGCACTGTTGAAGTGCGCGTAGTTTTTAATTTGATTTGAGCATTCCAGTGTGTTATTTGTATACTTACTTATTCTTTATACTACGTACTTAATTATGTTAAGAGCAACTTGATAATAATAATTCTACATATGCAAAAATATATAAATATTTTCAATTTATAAATCAATAATGTAATATTTTTTGCATATGACAGTCCAAGTTTACATTATCGTAATCTTTCTAGAAAGCACATTGTGAAGAAACACTGAAGACCATAACTAGTATGACGCGTGTATCGTTACAATGTTTATATAATAGCTAGATGTATGGTACCCTCCATAATAAATTTAATAAATATTAGATTATAAAAGTGCATGTTTACTCGACAAGCTTTTGTACAAAGTCTTTTTATTTTTTGAAATACGTAATCAGCTTCAAGACGCCCTTTAAACATATTAACCGGACTCGGACAAGATTGTGCTTATACAATGCCATTCACTACAAAAACCCATCAAGTATTATTGCAGTGAATCGTACTGTATATTATGTATATAGCAGTAAGTAAATCGCAAGTTTAAAATTAAAGTTTTTATTTCTAAACAAAAAAATTTAGTACCAGTGTTTCTATTTTAACTACAAAGCTTAATAAGGTTTTGGATGTATTTAACTGTTTTAATATGTTGTCTAACAGTTCAATTCCCCTTACTTCTTCGTCAAGATTAACATAGTTGAACTATTCGACGTACATAGTCTACCTTAATCAAACTATAGCTAAATAAATAATAATAAATGTTAATCCCTAAAAAGTAATTTTATACAGTTCGAAGATTCGAGATTTTGGGCAGCACAATAAAACATTATTTGAATACATGTATACCTATCTTCAGTTCGAATTACCTATACTGTACGTTTGATATGTTAATAATAAGATGTTTTGTGAAAGAACTATATTACATTTAAGATTATGGGTTGCAAAACATTGAGATAGAAATACATCGTATTCAGCTCACTTTAAAAGGTAATTTTCGACATATCAATTTGCAAAATTACTTTTTAAGCTTGTTATATGAGGAAATTTATTTATTTTCCTTACATAATAATGGAAATTTCAATGTTCAGTTGGTTGGTTTCACTTTAAAATTAATTAAAGAACCCTAAAATGTATTTAACAATTTTCAGCTAATATGTGTACAGTTCTAGATAAGAAAATATTATCTTTTCTTACACTCTAGATTTAGGCTATTGATTATAAAGTGTGTTGGATGTGCATAGTTTTTACTTAAAATATCGAAACATCTTATCTTTTTCGTCCAATCAAATTAAACATTTTTCTGTACCTACCTTACTTTCAAAAGTAGTTTAGTTTTTAGCTTAGTTTGATATATGTTTTGTGGCCATGTAATTTTAAATTTAATGTAATAAAAACTTAATAACTAAATTGATTTTTATTTTTTACTCTATTAAGTTTTAAGGAAACAATATGAAAAAATAAGGTAGATGTGTAACACAATATATCAATTGTGGAATTGATGACTCAAATATACATAAATGATGATTTTTTCCTTTTGATGTACAAAATTTATTTTGAAAGGCTAGAGAACTAAAAAAGAAAGAATATAGGTATGTTTGGTGTAAAAACGGCAAAATATTTGCTAGAAAAAATTATTCTACATGCATATATAATAGTATAGTACGAGTTTTATTAGGCACGAGCGAAGCTTGCGAGCGAGTGTTTAATAATAACGAGTGTCTAGAGAAGTTTATAAAACGAGTTGCATACTATACTTTATCTACGACGAACAGAAATAAGAATTTAAAGACAATTTTATTTCATAAAATTTGACATTTAACAAATTTAACCTCACTTTTTCGCAATTTATAATAAAGCTAACTTCAGCCCGTGACTAAAATGCCCAAAAGCCACTGTTATTAACTTCAGCCCGTGACTAAAATGCCATAAAGTCTTAACTCGTCAATGTAGGAGTAGATAAAAAAATTTGTTCAACGGATGTTGATAAACTGTGGCCAAACGGTAACCGGGGTAACATACGCGGTCCAGCTGGAGGCTTGCCGAACGCTTATGCCATGGCATGCCGTATTCTGGCCGAAGTCGGTTAGTGATTTGCCGAACGTAACCGGGGTAATATAACGCGGACCACTACACAAGCAGGCCGGCTGGGGGCAAGCCGAACCGCCGGTCTACCGCCTATAGGCCGAGTGTTTGGTACTTACTAGGTTGTTAGCCTTGTTTGTGATGCCTGTCCGTTGTTTCTGATGCATTCGCCCAAACACTCGGCCTATAGGCGGTAGACCGGCGCGCCGGTTCGGCTTGCTACCTATAGATAGGTAAAATTCAATTTATGCGTTATATATGTGCCTAACCACATTTTTAGCTAGATTCATATTTACTCTTTTTATTGCTTCATTAAAGAAATTATTTTGCTCTCAATGTGGTTAATATGTTCATTCCATGTGAGATCTTGATCAATAACAAGTCCCAGGTATTTTTACTTTTTAACTCTTTTCATTAAATATCCACCAACCTCGATGTTTGTGTCAATAATTGGTTTATTTTTTTTGTGTAAAGATTATACAGAAGGTCTTTTTATAATTTGAGTTTAGAGTAATTTTTGTAGCCCAAGTGTTAAAATAAATCTAAATTGACCATTTGTTGAACTTTTCTTAAAACTACTATTTATTAACACTGTGTCGTCTACATAGGCATACTATTTTCCATTCAGTTCTCAATAGTGTTATGTCATGTACAAGACTTATATCTTATACAGGGTTAGTCCTTACTAACCCCTGCAATACTCAATACTTTAAATTTTTCTTATTACTGCAAACTCCATGGATGCATCAATACAACAATATTGAATAGGTTTTGCCTGTTTTTAGATGTCCCATAGTTTAAATAAATAAATAAGTAGGTATAGGAAATACAGTGTCAAGATTTGAATAAAAAAGTGACAATTTAATAAATATAAAACAAAAGTTTTTAATTTCACTTTTATTGTAAATAAGTACCTATTTAAAATTTGAAGTTGAGCTAGACATAACAATAACTTTTAATCATTAATATAATATATATACATATAAAAAGTTTAGAATCAGTTCAAAGACGGTTTTTGAAAACACTGTTTTTTAGGACCTAAACACCTGGTGTCATCAAGTTTAAAATTTGAACTTGAGGTAGACATAACAATAACTTTTAATCATTAATATAATATATATACATATAAAAAGTTAAGAATCAGTTCAACGACGGTTTTTGAAAACAATGTTTTTTAGGACCTAAACACCTGGTGTCATCAAGTTTCTGTGGGTAAAAGGCATAAGGGGATAAGTCACAAAAAGCAATTTTTCAATAGAGCCTTTAACGTGTTCGCATTAATTCAGGAAATATATTTATGTTTAGCGGGTATACGCTTTTTTTAGCATATGACATGGACTAACAAAAGGGTATACCCGCTAACCATAAATATATTTCCTGAATTAATGCGAATGCGTTTAAGGCTCTACAGAAAATTGCTTTTTTTGACTTAACCCCGGGGCCCCTTATGCCTTTTACCCACAGGTTTATCCTACTCAGGGATATGAATATAAATTACTCCTCTTAGAGTTTAAGTTTAATAGTCTGGCACAGCAGAGATTAAGCTCTCGTGTTTTGTTTCTGCACAGAATAATAAACTATGATGTTAAATGTGAGGAGTTACTTACATGTTAAATTTTTATATTCCCCGCTTGAGAACATTTTCATTCGCACAAATATTTTAGTTTAAAGATCACATGGATTTATTTTCATGTAATGCTAATTCTGCAAAGCTTTTTTTCTCAACCTACCTATTTTAATTTATTTTGTTATCCTTTTTTTCCTTCTGTTTTTGGTTTAGTTTGCATAATCTTGTTTTATTTTTTGTTCTTAGTTAAATGTGATATAATTTAAATATGTGTACATATGTTATACATGTTTATATGTTTTTTTTTTAATATATTCTGTAAATGGGCCTAGGCCTCTAGAATATTAATTAAATAAATAAATAATGTTAAAATAAAGTTTATTATGCATTATTACACTTAAAAATTTTATTTTGTAAATTAAGACAATATTTATTAAGCCCTTGAACACTTAAGAAGATACAAAATTATTATGGAACTATGTTAGTGTTCGATGGCTTGACAAATATTGTCACTTCCCTACTCCATAGCCTTTCAGAGACACTCCTTGTCTGACAGAATATTTAATTTGTTAATTTTTTATAAAGCTTGTTTCATCCAATATTTACAATACATTTTTTTTTTATTTTTTTTTAAGTTATGCTATGCAAGTTAATCAAGTACCGATCGATGATTTAATATTAGGGAATTTTATTTGTATAACGTAGTACATCAAGTAGCCTTGGACTATAGTCATGATTTATGACTCATAAACTAAAAATTTAATAATATTATCCACACGCAAGATAATTAGGGTTAATTTTCTGTCGGTGTTCAGCTTATTTACACCTATTTTCCATAAATAATGCAATACCTATAATATAGGTCCTATATGTATTTTTTAAAGGTCTTAATTTAGAACATAAAAAATACATAATATATAATATATTATATTATTTTAAATACGAGGGTGGTTCAAATATAAACCGGAATTTTGCTATAAAATTTTTTATTATTAAGTTACAGAGCTGAAATTTTTTACAATTTTTCTAGATTGTCTCCGTCACACTCTACACACTTTTGCCACCTCTCCGGAAGCTTTCGGTTGCCTTGTTCGTAAAAATCTCTCGGCTTGTCACGTAACCATTCGCGCACGAAGTATTCAACCTCCGCATTGCTTTCGAATCGCAGTCCGCCAAGTGCCTCTTTCAATGGACCGAACAAATACAAGTCGCATGGCGACAAATCGGGACTATAAGAAGGGTGTTTCAGTGTTTCCCAACCCAATTCGTTCAATGTTTTCATCAAACTTCCTAGCGTGTGAATTTCTGATCAAAATTCAGAAGTCTTGGCACCCATCTGGCTGAAATTTTGCGGTAACCGAGCCGTTTATGAATTATTTGCTCAATACTACCTACGCTGATGCCCAATTCTTCAGGCATATTGCGTACAGTACTGCGCCGGTCTTCCAAAATGAGTTTTTCTACAGCGCTGACGTTCTCATCTGTAACACTTGTTTGGGGCGCCGCGCATATGGCAAGTTTGCCACCACTTCTCGGCCTTTTCGCAAAGCGGAACACAATTCATACACTTGATTCTTGGAGAGGCACTCATCCCCGAACTGCTCGAGTAATTTTTGATAAATTTCCGCGGATTTTACATTATCTTTGACCAAAATACGAATAATGATGCGTTGCGCAACAGACACTGGTACATCCTTCTCGCTCATGGCTATAACTACACTGAAAAGCGAGGTTACGCAGTTCCGGCTGTTCTCTACGCTTCGTAACAGACCAGCCTAACATCCAGTGCAGCCACTTTTACTTTTACTAAATTTTTAGCGCGTTTATTAAAAAATTCCGGTTTATATTTGAACCACCCTCGTATATATATACAGGGTGAAAACCTTAACTGGAATAAATTCTGTATTTTGAAAACTACTTACTTTTTTAAAAAATCCAAAAACAGATCAATTTATAAATTTACCTGGGTAAATTGTGGTAAATCTTAAAAATGTAAGAAACCACCCTTTGAGGGTGCAACCAACCCTAACTTTTTTTTATCAAATGCAAAGGTATATCAAGTGATACATCATTTGAAAGCTTGTTTTAATAGGAATTCATACAAATATGCAATTTTTAAATATTTTATTTTTGTACAATTATAAATAATAAAAACTTCATTTTATGATTAATATGGATTTATTATAAAAGATGTTCAAAATGAGCTTCTCTGGTTTCTTGACAAAATCCTAGACGATTATAAAATTCATTTTTAACCTTTTCCAACATCTCAGGTAATATTAAAGAAGTTTTGTGTCGGATACTCTCTTTAAGATCTTCAATATTAGTTGGTTTGGTTACATAAACTTTATTTTTAAGGTAACCCCACAGGAAAAAATCCAACGGGGTAAGGTCTGGAGATCGGGCTGGCCACTCAACTGCACCTCTTCTACCAAACCACCGATTAGAAAATATTTCATTTAGGTATCTACGAACGGGTAATGCGTAGTGCGGTGGAGCTCCATCTTGCTGAAACCAGACTCTATTATCTGGTAAGTCTGGATCATTCTCGTTTGGAAACTGAACTGCCAAATATGGTATAAGATCTTCTTGAAGAAAAGTTAAGTACCTTTCGCCATTTAGAGTTTCGTTTAAAGAGGCGGGACCAATTATTCTATTACCAATTATTCCAGACCAAACATTTCCTTTTGTGGATACTGTGTATGATTTTCTTCAATCCAATAAGGATTGCTGTCGTTCCAATATCTACAATTTTGA